CACACACACACACACACACACACACACACACGGATAATGACGTCTCGAAAACTAATATATTTTCCCATTTCATTTCAGCAACAGTATCGCCACATTATTCAGCGTCTAGTCATACGAGCGACCTCTATCGACAGTTGAAGATAATAATACCTGTCGTTTGCACAACAGTGGTGCTTGTGTTGGTGGTCACTATTGCATGCGTAGTTCTAATCCGTCGACGACAGGGAAATCCGCCTAACTCCACGTATTCGACAGGTAGATAAATATTCGGTTTTTTATTTCAACAAAAATAAAATCAAAAAATATGAGAAGAAATTATGGATAAAGATCGATATTTTTAGTAAGCAAAACCACCAATTGCAAAACCCATAATTGCACAACCCCCAACTGTACAACCCCCAATTACAAAACCCATAACTGCACAACCCCCCATTTGCACTTTACGTTGACTGAAGTTAGAAATCAACTTCGTTTGATCCACCCGTTTATCCGTTTTATTAAAATAAAATATTCATACTTTCCATATATTTCTAAGAACACTTATCATTTGCTGATTCTATTGTCTCTCCACCCCCCACCCCCAATCTTTTCCCTTTTTTTTTATTTAAGAAAACCATTGGTAAGTGTTTGCATGAAAGTGCACATGATCCCTTAACACTAAAACCAAGTGTAAACATATCGGAGGATTTTTTGGTATTTTCTTCAACTGGTGATGTCTTGTTTTTCCTAATATGAAAGTTAATAAGGTCCCTCTTGTTGTGAAAACAAACTTAGTTAACATTGTTGCCGCCGATATTAGTACGTTTTGACTCACGAGTTGACACTAAAAATATCAACTCTGTTTAGGATATATTTATTAATGACAAATAATAGACTTTGCGAAAAATGGCAACATTTTTCAACAATGTAAAATTAATGTTATAACAGAAATATGTCATACAGAAAGAGCGGTAATTATTTTTTTTTCAACTGTTAATCTCACATATAAATGGCTCGGCACGATCTGGTGATTGGGGCACTCGATTGGCAATCTGAAAGTTGCGAGTTCGATTCCCGTCTGGCCTTTTCCGCCGTGGGAGCATTATAACGTAACTATGCGTTGTTAAAAGAGCAGCCCAAGTATTGGCGGTGGGTGATGTTGACTAGCTGCTTTCCCTCTAGTCTCTTATTACAAAATTAGCGCAATTAGCCCTCATGTAGCTTTGCGCAAAATCAAACAAACTGAGAT